ATACTCACGCGTTTTTTTTCTTCTTACTTCGAACTTGCATTCATGTAGTGACCTTGTACTTGCTTGTAATGTGTTTTCAATTAAGCAATATTTATTTCAATGTTTAATGCGTGTTTATTGAGACTGTACAAAGGGCAAAACATCGTTACTGAACGACAGTAAAAAATGTGTATTGAAATAAAACGGTGATTTTTTTTTTACGAGAAATTGTTGTCCATGGTGGTAATGAAGTGTGTATGCGAACAGATTGCAAAAAATGTGAAAACTGTGGTCGATACAGTCTGTTAACTTTGGCCTATTTTTGCAAAAATGTCTGGCAGGGATAGCATGCACAGATGCTGGCTACTGGAGTGCATTGAATCATGACCGTTTTTCACCGACTTAACCTGATAGCGTGAAACTCCCCTGACCGGAAAAGGGTTAAATTGACATTTCCACCAATCATGAAGCTCTCACAATTAGCACTTGTACTCATGGTAACAATTTGGAAACTTCATTTACAATGTATGTCGTCTATGTTTCTGTCGCGTGTCTATTTCACGCTTATTCAATCAGGTGTCTATCACCTAAAGAAAACAGACATTGCATACACAATGCAATAAACTAACACTCTCTTATTGTATACACAGGAACTGGGGCAGCCCCAGAACGGTGAACACATGTGGACACGGGAAGCACTGCACACAATAATTGACAAGTCTCAAAAAGCTTCAATTGTTGTAAATTTGACATGATACATTGTAGCAAAGTCTGGGTGCGGCTTCTATTCCGTATTTTACGGTATATATGTAATATCAAAGTAATCAGACTTGCTGTTTTTTACAAGAAGTCAAAAATATCATTTTTTACCAAAAATGCCAAAAATATTCACCAAAAATAGAGAATTTGAGATTTTGACATGAAATGAACAAATCTGAGAATCATTGAAGGTACTTGCATACCAAAATTTGAAAACATTCTGACTTGCAGTTTTGAAGAAGTAAAAATTGTAAAGTTGACAGACGACGAACAATCAGTAATATGAACAGCTCTGCTGTGTCGCGACAGTGGAGCTAAAGATAGTTGTTTTCCAAAAAGATAAACTGAGCATTAGAAGAATAATTTAACATACAGTCAAACCTGTGTTAACGACCACCTGTGCAGAGCGGCCACCTGCTCATAGCGACCACCTTAGTACAGTCCCTTCGCAATTTACACGTTAAAGACACTGGATATAGCGACCACCTGTCCAACGCGACCAGCGACCACCCTATTGTAGACCTATTCACACTTTAACCTTTGTTAACGACCACCAACATTTCCATCAGACGTCTCAGCAAAAAGACAATAGCTACTTGCGAATCGCTAACAGGAAAGTGGCCATATGTTACGTTTAGATTACCGAGTACGCAATCTTTAGGGCTAATAGACAGGGGTACCATCGCATCTTGGTTTGTGAAGTTGCAAAAAAGTAAAAAAAAAAAGTTGAATATCATCTGAATGTAACGTCTAGAGAATGGAAAGATTTTAACAACAAATTAAAACAGTTTCATTCAAAGTTTGAAATGAAAAACTAGCTTGTTTCCGATCGGTACTACCCCCGGTATACTATCGATCCCCAGCCGGCCAGTGGCACTTCTGTGGACTGTCTCGCACATGAAGAGCAAATTCCCCCCCGTCTCAAAAACAAAAAAAGTGAACCAGTTTTATTAAATGAGAGATGTTTTATTTACCTTGTCTACATGAAATACCCAAACAAAATAATAAAACATTCGTTTATTTCGTTTTCATCGCAGGATTGCAAAATCCGACCTATTTTGGGCCGCCTTGTTGTTTGTTGTTGATCGTTATAAATTATGCTAATGAA